GTCTATAAATGGCCGCTCTGGGAATGTCTGTCCTATATGGTTGAGATAAGGACTGAGATACGCCCTGGTCTCCTGCAGTACCCTCAGGCTTACTAGGATTGGGAAACTCCATCCTGGTAAATTTTTGGTCAGACCAGTTCTCTGCTCTTGAACCCTGTTTTCTGTTAAGATGTTTATCAAGACAATATGTGCACCGCTGAACATAGACCCTTATCAGAAGTTCTGCCTTTTGCCCTTTGTCCTGTTTCCTCAGAAGCATGTGATCTTTGTTCTGCTTTTTGCCCTTTGAAGCATGTGATCTTTGTGACCTACTCCCTATTTGTACATCCCCTCCTCTTTTGAAATCCTTAATAAAAACCTGCTGGTTTTGAGGCTCAGGTGGGCATCACGTCCTACCGATATGTGATGTCACCCCCAGTGACCCAGCTGTAAAATTCCTCTCTTTGTACTCTTTCTCTTTATTTCTCAGCCAACTGACACTTATGGAAAATAGAACCTACATCGAAATACTGGGGACGGGTTCCCCTGCTACACTCTAATGTTCACATGATGATGAAATTGCCTGACAACTTATTTCTCAGAACATATGCCTGTCATTAAGTGATGCATGACTGTATAGAATAATAGTAGCTACCAGTTCCTGAGCATCTTCTATATGTCAGGAAATATGCTAGAGTTTTCTTTATATAGTAACTCTTATAGCAAATCTATAAAATAGATATTGCCGTTTTAATTTATAGATGAGAATTCTGAGACTCCCAAGTTCACACAGCTTATTGTGGCAGATTCAAATTCAGGTCACTTGTTCCTGTTGACCCTGCTGTTTCCACTGTGCCTTGGAGACATACAACTTAACAACATTTGGGAAACATTGTTTCTAAAGGAAGGGCAGTACAGTGTGACTGCCAGACAGCTATACACTTTCCACTACAGTGTTCAGGATAAGGGAAGTAATCAGCCATCTTAGTTCAAACCTAGAATATGGCTTCAATTCTGGGTTACCACACTTAAAAGGGGTACTATTGTACTTGATTATCATCAATAAATAGCAATAGCTGAGTGTCTAGGGAAAAAACTTTGGAAGTCAAACCCACGTTAACCATTCTCAGGAATAAATTGGTTACCACAAGACATGGAAAACTACATACAGAAATCTGCAAAGTATTGGAACTCTAAATTCTCCTATAGGGTTGTTAATGCCTGTGTCTACCTTCCACATTTGCTTTGCCCAGTTGTTTTTTTTTGATGGGGTTGTATAAAAAGCGTTTTATTATAATCGCTGTAATTTGTTTCATTACATTATTGACATTGAAATGTGCTAGGACCATGAAAGCAAATGATCACAAATAATGAAGTAGGTGAGTTTTTGCTAACAGAAAAAGGCAGTCCCTAAAATTTATTTAAAACAATCCAGTTTTGAGATTGGGGTTATAGAGCTACGGGTAGCTGCCCTTCGAAATGCCTCATGTCAGGTGAATTGAGTTTTCACTAATTGAGAATTCATGCAGACTGAAACACGGAAATCAGAATCTGGGCACCTGCAGGCAGCGCTGAGAGCAGCTTGGGTGCTTCCACTGCCAGCGCGATGTAGGGGAGAGCGCATGCAGGCGCAGCAGCAGCAGCAGACGAGCCGGGAATCTATTCCTGTTTTGGTTTTGTTTGTTTTTTAAATACTGCTATGGAGAATCTTAAAAGATATTTTAAATTATTTCATGTGAGCTAAAATGTTGGTGGCTCTCTGCAGGCTGCCAAAAGCCAGTGAGTGGTGGAGAAGCTTCCAGAGCTCAGTGTGACAGTCTCTGCAGTGAATCGTTTTCCCCTCGTGACAGCGCATCTTCAGGCGTGCATTCACCACTCTGGGCGTCACCCTTTTCCTTTTCTTTAATGGTCATGTTTGTCATCAGATTTCTTCTTACTAACCTGAGAAGGATGTTTTGATGATTGGCTGATATTATCTGATGGAATATCAGCCACCCACTGAATTAGCCAGTCAGATTACTGTGTTCTGCTCGTAGGAAATTGTCAGACAGTGGGGACTAGAGGACAGTTTATAAATCAGTTTTTCTATTATATATGTCTTGATATCTTATTTATAATTTGTGTTTGTTGGGATTATTTGCCTGCAGGGAAGAAGGCATTCATATATTTGGGAGTAAATGGATGACTATTTGTAGAGCTGATAGGAAAAAACTGTTGGAGGATTCTGGATAGATTTTAATTTAATTTTTATTGCTGCTTTTTAACCTGATGTGCTGAATAACTACTTGGAGTATTCTTGACTTGCTAGTATTTAAAGTCTGCTTTCTCCATTCCTGGCATTTCAAGTTTATTTCACATATACATTCATAAAGCAAAGAAAACTTTTCTGAATTACAAGCATTTTAAAGTTTGGGTTGTCAATGAAAATAATTGGTCCACATATTATAAAATATATTTCTTACCAAAAGGTTTAAGAACAACGTGGGTTCTGCCAGCTGTTCCAGAATAGGATCTGCCTGTGGCTGTCTCAGGCCAGGAGTTATGCTGTGCGCTGCTTGCTCTTTCACAGTTCACATCTAACCCATTGAGCAGGTGTGCAGACACTGCCTGAACAATTACCCGGGAAGCAACTTCTTCTCACTGCCTCCATGGTGGTATAGTGTAGGAGGAGGAGCAAAGGTGCTGGAATCAGCTCAGGGTTTGAATTCTGGACCTGTGACTTGCTAGTGGTGAGCCTTTGAGCAAGTTAGTTTCTGCCTCCATTTTCCATTAAAATATGGGAAAATTGTAAAGCCCTGCACTCTCTGCCTATCACAGGCCTTACAGGTACAGCTTTCTGAGCAGAGGCCAGCGCACAGTGAGTGCCTAGTGAGTATCAGCCATTAGTGTCATCATCATTCAGTATTGCCACAATCGAAATCCCAGCCACCATTAAAGTGATCTAAGATAAACATGAGATCGTGTAATTCTTCTGCTGAAAAGCCTCTAGTATTTTATAGTTAACTTGGAATAAAATCCAAATTCCTCGCCGCATTCTTCAAGGCCCCATGTGTGCCTGCCTGTCCCCAACTCAAGGCCCATGCTCAGAGGGCCGCCTCCTTGCTGGCACTCTCCTGCTCTGCCCTGTCCAGCTCCCAATCATTTTAATTCCTTTTTCCTAGTTTAATTTTCTTCAGGGCACTTTGTATAACTAGAATATAGGCTCCAGAAGGACAGGGACATCACTTTTCTCATTCCATCCCTGTATTGCAGACAACCAGAACAGTGTCTGCTGCATAGTAGTTGCTTTATGTATTTGCTGAATGGATGAATGAGTTGAAACAAACTGTAATTGCCAATTCTAACACTTTTATTCTTTCATATGTATAAAGTAAGGAGCTTGCATAAACATTGTCAAAGTAGAGTTCCATTGAAACCATCAAAAATTTCTCTGGCACTTCATGAAAACGGCACAGGGGAAGAGAAGAGTGAACTGAGAATGAAAACACTGGGTTTTCACTGGGTTCCTGCCACTGTGAGATCACTTGGCTTCTCCTAGACTCTGCTTTCCCTGTAGAAAACACAGGGAGGACTCGATGTCTCTGGAACCCTCGGGCCCTTCAGAGCTGCCCAGGAGAGGGAAGAGGAAAAGGGAGGAAAAGAGGTTTCATTGGGAGGAGCCCTGGTCCTACCCAACCCCGACTTTAACTACAGCAGCTTTGTGTATATTTTCTTTTCTATATGGGGGTTTCATATGAAATTTGGCTTAAAAAAAAAGAGTCTGCTTTTTATTTAAAAACTACTGAATCAGAAGAGCACAAAAGTTGTTTTAGCTCAATTATTCTGATCCTGATAGCTTAATTATTTAAAGGATATTGTTTCTTCATAATTCTCTGTTCCCTCCTCTCATGCCAAAAAGATCACTGAATATTTTTTGGAAATATCCTAAAGAAAATTATAATGTGCATAAGTGACAAAATTATCATCATCAAGACTGTAAGCTACGTGAAAAAAAAAGACCATGTCTTATTCCTACCACTCAGCACAGTGCCTGACACTCCAACAGGCTTACTCAGTAAATATTTCTAGATGGGTGGATGACTGGATATTTGAAAAGAGCAAAAATGCATTTTTAAATGGCAGTACATTATTTTGTAAAAACAGGTGAAAAACATGGAATTTTAAGTGAAGTCTGTTGTTTCTTCAAGATGATGTTGATTAGATACACATATTATAAAAGATAATTTTTAAACACTGTTTGTTAAATGGCCAATCTATTACACCTTCCTTTAATTCCTCGTGAATTTTCTGCTAATTATTTAAAATACAAAACTGATAGTATCCAATACGACTTTTTTTTAAAATTCCTTTTCTTTTTTGCATTTAAAGTAGGATTCTTTTAGAATGTTAGTTTTCAGATAGAGAGTACCTTTTCTTTTGATCAGGAAATTGTACTGTGGGAGTATTTAATAATAATAATCTATTCGAGGACAACTTTGAGACCACAGTTAGTCATCAGTTGAGTTTTAATTTTGCAGACCTGCTTGGCATTGATAGAAGTTGAACTGAGATTTCAAAACCATCATAGCTGAGGAAGGTTAAAGTGAAAGTAATACAGTATTGAGACACTGAACTACTCACCTGCCTGTTAGGAATAGAAATGAGAGTATCAGCTTTGCAGGCTTGAAAAAGCATTAACAACTTGTCAACAAAATATAAGAATCGTGTTACACAATTGTATGAAACTTATGCATAAAATTACAAAATATTCCCACCCACAATACATTTGGCCTAATATGATTGTGAGTGTTGGTATGTTTTAGTATCAGTCTCTAAAATTAAACACCTCTCATCAGCTACCAACCTTCTGTGGTATAAACAGTGTGTGTGTGTGTGTGTGGTAGAAAGTGTGTGGTATGTCAGCGTGTATCTGCGCACAGATGAAAAGCATGACATTATTACTAATGGATTGCTTCTATTGGGTACTGTTTCCTCGTGTATCCTCGTGTATTATCTTACTTAGCCTTTCTCTTTCTTTTTAGGTAAAGAGGATGAATATCCAAAGAAGCCCTTGGGACAGCTTCCGCCTGAACTTCAGTCTGGGGGTGTCCATCACCTGAGCAACGGACAGAGGAGCGTGGGCCGGCCGAGCCCGCAGGTCAGTGGCAGGAGGGAGAGCGCGGCGCCCCACAGGAGGCACGAGCACTCGCTGCACCCCCAGAGCAGGACCGGGACGCCCGAGAGAGCACAGCCGCCAAGACGGAAATCGGTGGAGGAGGAGAGCAAAAAGCTTAAAGATGAGGTAGATTTTCAAAGAAAACTCCCATCGGGTCCACAGGACAGTTCCAGGCAATATAATCACGCAGCTGCCAACCAAAATAGCAACGCCACTTCAAATATCAGGAAGGAATTTGTGCCCAAATGGAATAAACCATCAGACGTCTCAGCTACGGAGAGAACTGCCAAGTACACCATGGAAAGCAAAGGTCGAGCAGCGCACCCCACGCTCGCAGTCACTGCCCCAGGTCCTGCCGAGGTGCGGGTGGCAAACGCGCGGCCAAAGATGAAGGCCCTGGATGCTGAGGACGGGAAGCGGGGCTCCACTGCATCGCAGTACGACAACGTGCCGGGCCCGGAGCTGGACAGCGGTGCTTCCGTGGAGGAGGCACTGGAAAGGGCTTACTCCCAGAGCCCACGGCATGCCCTTTACCCTCCCAGCCCGAGAAAGCACGCTGAGCCAAGTTCTAGTCCGTCAAAAGTGTCCAGCAAGTTTACTTTTAAAGTACAGACTCCAAGTCATGCACGATATCCGTCCCAGCTAGATGGGGAAGCCCGAGGGCTAGCTCATCCCCCCTCCTACAGCAATCCCCCCATTTACCACGGAAACTCACCCAAACACTTCCCTACTGCCAACAGCAGCTTTGCTTCGTCACAGTTTAGCCCTGGGACTCAACTGAATCCTTCCAGGAGACCTCATGGTTCTACTCTTTCCATCAGTGCTTCTCCGGAGAAATCTTACAGCCGCCCAAGTCCCCTTGTACTGCCATCTAGTCGAATAGAAGTCCTCCCTGTTGACGTTGGTGCTGGGGGGTATTCGGGCAATTCAGGGTCACCAAAGAATGGAAAATTGATCATTCCGCCAGTGGATTATTTGCCAGATAACAGAACATGGTCAGAAGTTACTTATACATACAGACCTGAGACGCAGGGACAATCATGGACCCGAGATGCTAGCCGTGACAATTTACCAAAATACTCAGCCTTTCAGCACGCACCCTTTCAGGATCATGGCCTCCCTGCAGTTTCGGTAGATAGTCCCGTGCGGTATAAAACTTCACCTGCCGCAGAAGATGCCAGTCCATCTGGGTATCCATATTCAGGGCCCCCGCCTCCAGCCTACCACTACAGGAATCGGGACGGGCTTTCCATGCAGGAGTCAGTGTTGCTGTGAGATTTGATGTGTACTTGCTAAAGACGAGAGAGAAACCCCATGAAACCAACATTGCTATGTTCATAATTGCCAAAGCAGTATTTATACTATTGTAAACAGCTCGCACATCTCTCCTGTCTGTGAGTAGTAAGAATACAGGGAAATGTCTTCAGCCCCACGTAGATGCTGCTTAAGATGAGCATTTAAATTGCATCATCACTGACCTGTTAGAATTTAACCCGGAAACATAGCAATAGCATTTAGGGATGCACGCACAATGGTAATTTATTACTCAGTTCCGTTTATGTTTTTCTCCAAAACCTGAACATTTTTACTCTGTTGGCTCATTCTATTTTGACTAATGTTACAAAGTACTGAAAAAACTGTAGAATAGATATTTTTAACGCTATATGTAGTGTATGTGTCTTTTAATAGATACAGGCATCTATTCATACACGTTTGAACACGGAGCTAAAGAAACATTTTTAAAAAAACTACTTTTAATCCAGATCCATGGAATAATATGTAATTCTTGTTTTCCTTGTCTTTTGGTCCAGTTTTTCTTTTTCCCTCTCATATTTTTAACCTGGGTCCTAAACTGACTGAAGAGTTTGTCCTGACTTTATTAATTGCAATCTCACAGAATGCTCATCGTTCTCCTTCAGCTGTTGCCATTTTCTTTCAATCTGAAAATTAAAGACATTGGAGAGAAAGGCTAACCACTTAATGGTGCTTAAAAATCGGGACAGTTAAAATAAGTTTACGGCCAAAGGTGCAGCAGTGCTTATCATATCCATTTACTAAGAGATCAGTCTTAGTGCGTTTATGCCCTTTGTTCTGGTCTGACTCTTGGGAATCTCAGAGCAGGAGAAGTTGCAGCTGACTGATCCCTCAGTGCTCACAGTACTCATGTGGGGCAGCCAAACTAACTGAATTAGCAGTGTGGTTACTTCTCCCCATGAAAGTCCCAGGGTGGCCATTTACACAATCCATTTCTGACCTCTTTAGGGAATATAGTCGACGGATATTGCTGCACCTCATCAGGCCATTACATTGTCCACGTTAAAATTATAAAAATGATCCTAGTTTTTCATAGGAGTCTAGGATTTTGATATTTTTAAAAAATATAGTGTGATTTCATGCTTTTGAAAAAATTTTTTTTTCATTGAAACAAATTCAGGTTCCTGGCTTAAAAAGAAATTAGTGATGTCTTTAAAAAATATTCTGTTACACTACAATTACCAAAACACTGACAGAGATATCGGTACTCCAAGAGGGTATGACTTTGTGTTTAATTGGGGAACTTGTTTTCAACTTTGCTTATATTTGAATAGTAGAAAACTGGACATTGATGTTTCTTCCTGTTGCAAGGTGGGGCTTTAAGCTTTCAAGGTACAAAAGTATGCCTTTTAAAATGAAAGTAACATTTGTTTAGCTAGTGAATGTGACAGTATTTTTTATGTATATAATGAGTTTAATGTAATTTTAATCAACTCGGTAATGATGTTATTAAATAGCAAAACAAATGCAGTGTGTTAAAGCTAAACACTACATTGAAACACAAACAAAATTCTGATGAAATAACTGGGCTCTTGATTCAGATTAGGTGGAAGCTGAGAAATAAATGTATATAAATATGTAGCTGAGGATATTAATCCCCATTTTAAAACCATGATTCTGTGACTTGTAATAAACCAAGCTGTACAATTTAGTTTATAATAGCAGCATCTGAGCTGCTCAAAAATATATATATCAACAGTGGTAAATACTGTAGATTTATATATATATATGCAAAAAATATATATATACACACAAGCACTATTTTCTTATGTCATTTATGACATTTTTTATCTGTATACTTTTTTTGATGTGATTGTTTTTTAACATGCTAAAAGTAATAAGTATATTTCGTTTTGTGTCTTTTATGTGCATTTTTTTCATACGGCAAAAATGGTGCACACCCTGATGCTTTGAAGGCTAATTCTCTTCTAATTGAGTAGCTGTTGCCTAGTATTCACCTGTGTTACCTTGTATGTGTCACAGTTCTATGTTTAATGCTTTGCTAATTTCCAGTAAGACTATATTTAAAACTATATAACCTTTCCTTATTTTATTTAGTACGACATTGTTAATAGCAATGAGGTAGCATTTCTAGACTTCCTCATCTCTGTTTTCTAAGTAGGAAAATGTAATTTGAAATTATCTTGCCACCATACAGTTTTACTTTTTCAAATTTATTTTTTAATAAGAGATAATGAAATAATGATAAAAGATAAAGAGATTGGTAAAGTATATTTATGAAAAACCCATTTAGTACAGATTTTCATAGTGCAAAGACTGATTTTACCCTGTAACTGCATGTACATTGTGTATTTTGCCATTAAGTCTTTCATTCATGGCAATTTTGCCTTAGAAAGTGCTTTGGCATAGTTTAGTCTGAGAAGTTAAGCTAGACCTAAGATCTCAAAAGTTTTAAAACTTTCACGTTTTCATATGTTTGTTTATTAATAGGATTTTTTTTTAAATGAACATCTTTTTAAAGCTGGGAGATGTGTATAAATTCAGGTATCATTATCAATAATAGACTGTGTCACTGAAAGAATGAAAAGAGGCCAGGCACAGTGGTTCACGCCTGTAATCCCAGCGCTCTGGGAGGCCGAGGCGGGCGGATCACCTGAGGTCAGGAAATCGAGACCATCCTGGCCAACATGGTGAAACCCCGTCTCTACTAAAAATACACAAATGAGTTGGGTGTAGTGGCATGTGCCTGTAATCCCAGCTACTCGGGAGGCTGAGGCGGGAGAATCGCTTGAACCAGGGAGTCAGAGGTTGTGGTGAGGCGACATCATGCCACTGCACTCCAGCCTGGCAACAGAGCAAGACTCCATCTCAAAAAAGTGAAAAGAGATTCAACCAAGAGGACATCTCTGGAGAAGCAAAAGAGATGTTTATAGGACGCGATTGTTTCAACTTTGTTTTTCCATTGTAAGGAGATTCCAGTACTAAATGTCGCCATACTCCGTGGTACTTTTCAAGTAGACTTTCATAGTTGCAGTCACTTCAAGTCTCTGCCTCGGGTGCCCTTAGGATGCAAGCACAAGAACAGACACCTGGTCAGCAAAACCCCTTTGTCTTCACTGTCACGATGCGAGAAAAGCATGCCATGCCTACCAGCAGGGATCTCTTCACAGAGGACCCGCAGCTTCATCTTCTGGATTGAAGATGATTCTTGATTATGTTTTGGAATCAGTCCTTTATCTTAGTATGCACTTGATTGTGAGCTTTAAGATTATGTTTTTAGGATTTCTTTTATTTTTTGTCTTTTATTTTAAATTGTTCTTTAATGGATTTTAAATGTCTGTATCTAACGTGGGTATTAATGCTTATTGGCCAAGTGGATTTTAAGAAGAGAAACTTTTTTTTGAGATGGAATTTTGCTCTGTCGCCCAGACTGGAGTACAGTGGCTACATCTCAGCTCGCTGCAACCTCTGCCTCCCAAGTTCAAGCGATTCTCCTGTCTCCACCTCCCAGGTAGCTGGGATTAAAGGTGCCCACCATCACACCTGGCTTTTTTTTTTTTTTTTTGTATTTTTAGTAGAGACAGGGTTTCACCATGTTGACTAGGCTGGTCTCAAACTCCTGACCTCAAGTGATCCACCTGCCTTGGCCTCCCAAAGTGCTGGAATTACAGGTGTGAGCCACTGTGCCCCGCCCTAACATTACTTTTAAGATGACCCAAAGTCATGAGAATAGGAAAAAGCAATGTGATTAACATTTATGCATTTTATTTTCAGAAGGACTTACAGTTATCCATAAATCTAAGCATAACTGCTACCATTTATGCATGAGAAAATGACAGGAACTAATATAAAGAGCAGATCTTGACCCTTGCTGGGTCTTCAGAATAACTATAATTCTTTAGAATTATTGAGTGAACTTTTAAAAAATTTGTCTGCATAGGTTACATCCCAGACCACTTAAATCAGAATATCTTGGATGGAATCCAGACATCAGATTATTGTATTTTCCCCCATAATTTAAAGTTCAGTCATTAAGCTCTTAAATCCTCCTAAAGTTGATTGTCTTATATTCCCACTATGAGATACCTAAAAGATTCTTAACAGACCAAGAGTTTCAGAGGTTAGAAACTCGAATGTTGGGCAAGTTAGGAAAAATTCCACCAGCAAAATTAACATTACCAGCCATCTCTGCAAATGCTCATGAACTGCTGACAGTTATGGCATCAAACGGAACATGGCAGGCCCTGTCCTTCCACTCAGGTGCTGCTTACAATGGTCCTCAACAGAGGGAGAGCCTCCCTAAGATTTCCGTGTTCCTAGACAAAGTCCTAAGCTGTTTGGAAGTCTGTGAGCATTTTCAGTATATGAGGAACTGAGAAAGTGCTGCCTGTCTGGTCCTTCATTTGGCCAGCCAATATTCTGTCGAGCACCTGCATTGTGCTAGGTTCATGCTTCCAGATGTGAGATGTGAGTTCTAATCTGACAATGTGTTTTGTAATCTGTCTCTCAATCAGTGTTGGAGATATGCACAGGCTATTATAGGCATATTATAGACATATATAAAGGCCAAATAGTGATCCCAGCCCAAGAGGTTCAGGGAAGTATTATGAAGGATTTGCCTCAGCTGAGCGTGACAGGACAGGCATGTAGAAGGACAAGAGGGAGAGAGCAGGGCATTTTGCAGAGGGGAGCAAGAGCAGCTGCATGGGATATGTGAGGAGATCTGCCACTGGGATGTGTATGTGGGGTAGGCATGGGGGTGGAGAGGGGTGAGGGGGTCCACAGAGACAGGATGGTGGAGGCAGTTTTGTGTGCAATTGAACTTGATCGTGTAGTTGGTTTTGGCCTGGTGTGGTCTCTCCATGCTGTGGAAGTGAAATGTGAGGGAACAACCTTGGGGGCAGTGAGGGAGATGGGACAAACCTTTCATCTAAAAGGTGGTACAGAGCTTAAGGCCAGGGGAAAAGGTAAAAAGAAAAGGTGATTGAGAACTAATTACCAAGGGAAACTAGCAAGACCTAACTGGGTGAGTGTAATCCGAATGATCCTAATGAGACAACAGCTAACACTGAATGCTTGCTGTGTGTTTGGCAGTCTGCTACACATTTTACTGGTATTAACAGATTTAATCCTCACAATAACGATGAAGTATGTACTACTATAATTGCCAGTTTACAGATGAAAACTAAGGCGCAAAGTTTAACTTGCCCCAAGCGACACAGTGGATACGTAAAAGGGCGAGGACTGTGCCTCCCTCTCTCCCCTAACAGTTTTAAGGAGATATAATTTACCTGCCACAAAATTTACCCATTTTAGGTTTATACTTAGTGATTTTTTAGTAAGTTTATAGAGTTGTGCAACTATCACAACCAATGTTAGAACAACTCA